ACACACAAAGAAAATAAGGGATGACGTTTCAGTTGCCCCAGACCCACATGCACATCATCTGAGTAACCTACTCCTTTCCTTTCAACCTTAGAAGCTTGGAGCCGCAGAAAATGTCTAAATATCTTATTTGGAATCAAGGGTTCAAAGGACTGGGCTGTGGTGGCTCAGAGGTTAAGACGCTGAGCTGCAGACCAGAAGATCTGTAGTTTCGCAGTTCGAGACCCTAGTGCCGTGTGACAGAGTGAGCTCCCGTCTCTGGCCCCAGCTCCTGCCAACCTAGCAGTTCAAAAGCAAGAAATTGCAAGTAGATAAATAGGTACCACTTCAGTGGGAAGGTAACAGCATACTGTGTGCCTCAGTGTTTACTAATGCCTTGCCCAATGCTCTGCCACATGGCCACGGAAACATCTTCGGACAGCACTGGCTCTTTGTCTTGGAAATGGAGATGAACACCACCCCCTATAGTAGAATTTGACTAGCTTTCAAGCAAGGGAATCCTTTACATTTTTTACATATTTAGGCATACCCAATGTAATTTTCGGATCATTATCTTTAAGAAAAGAACATTTTCTGGAGAGTGGGGGTTGCTTAAGTAGTGTACTCATGGAGTCTACCCACCAGAATAGCACAGGGGAAAGCATTTAGCCTAGCCAAACGAAAAGCCATCCAAACACAAATAATAAGAATTATGAAGCCATAGGGACATCTAGCACAGTATTTCGCAAACGGGGGTTCTGGGACCTCCCTCCAGGGGACTTTGCAGGGGTGTCAAACATATGGTCCATGGGCCAGAAGTGGCCCATCTAGGGTTCTTATCCAGCTCGTGAACAATTGGCAGATTTATTGCCAGATGACAGAGGCTGTGCATTATGTCCCTGTATACTGTCCCAGTTCTAATGCGTAACAGGCAGTAGAAGTCAGAGAGTGGGCATCAGAGAGATACTGTAAGAGTGTTACTGTTTTAATATGTTTGTCCTTTGAGTGTCCTTTATAACATTTATATTTCCAGTACCTGGCATTACATTTTATGGCACAAACGGCCCAGCCCAACAAAGTGACATTTATGTCAGATGCGGCCATCGTAACAAATGGCTTCAACACCCCTGCTCTACAGTGTCCGCAAATCTTTTTGCAAGAGCAGAAGGTGAGCCCTTTGTCTTCTCAAAAAAGGGTGGAGACTGTTTCAGCAGAAGGGGACCAAAAACGCTTCCGCCGGTTTTGAAAGGCAGGCGCTGAGAGCTGCTGTCACCAGCCAGCCCCCCAGCTTCCAGCTCACCTTAAAGCATCAGCCTGAAAATGTGCTCATAGGTCCCTGGGAACAAACGGCTAAGCCCTATGAACACCAAGAAACTGACTGGCACCAAGGAGGGACAGTCTTCATGTAGTTACATCCAGTGTAAGACTGAACTGGTTTTCATTCCATGTGCCAATGCAAAGGATTTCAGAGAGGCGTACCCTACTGTGTCCATAGGCAGTTATCAGACAATAGCAGTTGAAGTGCAGGTTGTGCAAGATCCTAATCTTTTTGTTTCTATGAGCTGCTTCAAGACTTACTAAGCAGGCCAAGCAGGCCAAGGAAGGCAACACTACCTCCCTGTAGCTTGCTTTATTCCCCCAACTGTACTGCTCCAAACTAAGCTGCTTCAGGTTGGTGGACTACAGGAAGAGTAGGGGGCAAACTGGATTGTCTGCAACAGGAGAGTGTGTGTGTGTGGGGGGAATCTCCCTTCTTTACCCGTAGGAAAGCTCCCTGAAGAGCTATGTGCCAATAAGGTCCAAGAGTTTTTACAGAACGTTTCCCACCCCCCATTGAGCCGCCCTCCATCTCAATGGTTTCAGGTAAGTTTCATGCCGTCTCCAGTATGAAGCCCTTTCCAAAGAGGTGATACATTCAGATTTATGACCCTACAGAATTCGACCTGCCCGCCTAGTTTAAAAACTTGCTTTTGAAGTCCAGTGGATAAGGCTCTTAATGCATCGGCTTATGTAACAGGGTGGAAATCCACCATGTAAAAGGTGCCCAAGAATGGGAAAAGATAATCTAAGATCTCTTTCATTCCAGCAATATCCAGCAAACTTTCCCAAAACAGGCCACTAAAATAACAGGGACAACTTTATTGTCACTTAATTCCTACTGGGTAGGAATGTGCAAGCTGCTGTTTCACTGACTCAGTTTCCTTTCTGTGTACTAAAACAAAATGCCATGCTTGTTAGTACCATGAGATTTCACCAGTGAAAAGGGATCCTGGAGGTTTTGTGGACTTTCCTCCCTTAGTTGTTTCATGAAAAGCAGATACGCTCAGCATCTTTTTGGAATGTCTTAGGAAAAGACTAAAGTAAATTAAAGTAAAAGGTTTCCCTTGCTCGAAAGCTAGTTGAATCTGACTCTAGGGGGCAGTGCTCATCTCTGTTTCCAAGCCGAAGAGCCAGTGCTGTCTGAAGACTTCTCCGTGGTCATGTAGCCGGCATGACTAAACGCCAAGGCACACAGAACACTGTCACCTTCCCACCTAAGCGGTACGGGAGCTACGATTGTATTACAGCATCATATGGGTACTAGGTATTTATAGGATTGTATTTTAAATTACTTATCAGATTTTATATGTATTTTATGGATAATAATTGTACATTGCCCTGAGCCCACTTGCAGAGGGCAGTATAAAGTCTAATTAAATAAATAAATGTGGTCTGCCATTACATATTCGGGGGGGGGGGGGGGGCTCTCCAGCATGCTGTACCAGTCAAAAAGGATAGGCTTAGAATCCACAAAGAAGGTAATCAACATGGTGACCCTTGGGTGGGTAAAGTTTGAGAACTGCTGCTCTAAGGACCCAAAGTAGATAAGCTCCAACTTTTAAAAATAACACGTTTTCCCCCACATCAATACCCCTCAGAAGGCAGTTCTACACCAAGTTTCTCCTCTTCATGCGGTTAACTTGACAGTGGTATTAGGGCATGGCTGTCTCAGTAAAATACTATATCCTGCCTGCTTAATACCTTCTTGAAAAGAAAAACAAAGCACTGAAGGAATTGCTACTATGGGTTCTACTTTAATATAGTGATTATAGCTTGAGCCAACTTTTCTGGGTGAAAGGCAGCTATGAAAGATACTAAGTAGAAGTAGCCTTTGTTTGATATGACCCACCATAACCCTCCACCTTCCTTATGCCATCCAATAACATTCAAACAACTCAACAGGGATTATGCTTACTGCAGAAAATGCAAGACAGTTCCTTAAACTTCAGTCAACTGAATCTGGAGAGCTATAACCAGTTTGGACACAAATCTGGACAGCATTTTGTTACAGACACACAGAACAGATGAGGTTGTTTTGGAGCTGCCCTGGTCCCATGGAGGGCCCAGCTGTGCAACTGTAAGCTAGTATGAATTCTAGCATAAAGATAAAAGTGTGAAGATAAACCCGTTCCCCCAATATCCAGTGCTGCCTTGGCAACCTAGACAAAAAGCAACTAAAATGAAGATGGAGTTGATCCCTCTTATACCAGTGGCAGCCAAACTTGCTTAAGGTAAAAGCCACATAGAAAAAAGTCAGATGTTTGAGAGCCACAAGACATGAACACACACATTTTTATTGAAAAATACAAAATTGCATATTAAAGAGACAAATACCTTCTCCGAGCCAAGCCAGTCTGCTGGTGTGATGGGGCTTAGAGAATACATTTAACTTTAGATAGGGAGGGAGAGAGAGAGAGAGAAGACAGAAAGAAAGAAAGTGGAAAGAAAGCAAATAGATGGGGGAGGGAGAGATAGAAAGAAATTTTTAATTTTAAATGCGTCCTCCAGCCCCCCCCCATGCCAGCTGGCTTGGAGAAGGGATTTAAAGAGACAGATGCCTCCAAGCCGGCAGGTCGGGGGGGGGGGCACTTTGAGAATGCATTTGAAGTCACTTTTTTCTCTGCTTCCCCCCATCTCAAGCCTACTCAGGGAAGGAAACACTGATTGGGGAAGGGAAGACCTTTGCTTGCCCCCCCACCCTGCCGGGAACCACATAATGTGTGAAAGAGCCGCATGTGGCTCCCGAGCCACAGTTTGGCCACCCCTGCTCTTATACAAACACACATTTTGAGAAGTTGAGATCCAAGTTTTGCTTTGCAAAATTAGCCTAGCTTTCCCCTTAATGCATGTCTAAGACATTTCTGAAAACCTGCCCAACGTTGAGCTACCCAAACCAGCTGTATGCAAGTTCTGCCTGGAAGCCAAGACGCCTTGTAACTCTGAAAACTGGTTTGACAAGGCAACATGAGTAAGCAGAAGAGAGTCTGCACATTTAATATCTACCTTAAAATCAAGTAGTTTTCTCTCCTGCAGTAAAAGTAGTCTCCCTGCCCCTTCTCCAGCTGTCAAGTGAAAGGAAACTGGAGTGAAGATTCTATGCTACTTTGTGCCAGACAAGTACAAGGACCCAGATGTGGCTGAAGACGAAACCAAGAACTTAACGGTGTTCTTGCTGGGGCAGTAAAAGCATGTGGGGGGGGGGGTAGCAATCACACCCCAACTGAGTACATAATTTAAAGGGCATTGGACTTCACCTCTGAACACACAAGTCCTGACCTCCCCTTACTCTCATACCATACTAAAGTATCAGACTGAAGGTTTGATGTATAATCTATAGTTCATCACAGACTAGACTGGAGCATATTTGTCAATTCTAGAAACAGAACTGAAGTACAGAGTGAATCCAAGGCATTCTGCTTGCCTATGCAAACTTCCACTTTGCAGCTTCTTAAGAATACCCATCTGTGCCCTTCCTTGTGCAGAAAAGAATACCCAAGTCTAGCAAAGATGCAGAGCCTTCCTTTCCGTCCCGTTCTAGAAACTTTTATTCCAGCTGGTGAAACATCACATTTCTTTCTCAGGACAGCAAACCAGAAGGCAGCTTATTCTTCTTGCACATTCCTTATCCTTTAACAGGATTGACACCACACATTTCCAGCCTGCCCCCTATCCTCTGCTCCCCAAGATAAAAGGTCAGTCCTTACCTCGGCAAGACGCCAAGTAGAGTGCTGTGAGCAGCACCCAGCCTTTCCATAAGCCTTCCATGTTCTTGGCACAAACGACTGCTTCGGCAAGGAGAAGAGCTTAAACTGATGCCTCCTGCGCACAATGAGCAGTCCTGGAACAGGCAGCCAGATGGAAAGAGACTGCTACCCAAACCCCAGAAGTTTCACAAGCACCATTTACCACACCCATCCCTAGGCCAATGTAATTAAATGCACCTAATACGTAGGAGCAGCAGCACTCGGGGAGAGAACCCAGATTCCCCACATCACAGCCGGTCCCTACCAGCTCATGAGATGCTGCTTCTCTTCATTACTGCAGGAAAAACCTGAGTACTTCCCGAAGTGGTTCTCGTGGGATTTTTGGTCTCTTCTCCATCTAGTTAAAATGTAACTGTGTTAACATTCAAATCTTTATGCCAGTGAGAAGAAAAATGCAGAACGTGGGTTTTTTAAAAATTCTTCCTACCATGGGCCATTTTAATAAATTGATTATCACAACACAGTAGCTGCGCAGGTAGGCTGTTTGGGGAAGGAAAGATGGTAAGACATCATGTAAGCCAGCCACAATTTGTAACACACTGTACTATTTTTCAGCTTTTGTTGTTGTTCAGTCGCACAGTCAAGTCTGACTCTTCGCGACCCCATGGACCAGATCTCGCCAGGCCTTCCTGTTTTCCGCCGTCCTCTGAAGTTTGCTCAATTTCATGTTCGTTGCATCTGACACTGTCTAACCATCTCATCCTTTGCCATCCCCGTCTTCTTTGACCTTCAATCTTTCCCAGCATCAGGGTCTTCTCCAGTGATTGCTCCCTTCTCGTTTTCAGCTAGTAGGTTTCAATTTTCTTCATCTGATGCAGACTTGCAAATTATGGCCCCGCATTGAAAAAGACATGTTGGTTTAAAGCAGGAGTAAAAACGATTACTGTGAATTCATACAGAAACAGGAACCAATAGTCAGTGGAAGGTGCTTGTGTGGGTGCAGATCCTTATTGCGACCTCCTATCTCCAGAAACCCCCCTCCAAACCCCGAAAAGACTGTCTCTGGGATCACAAGTCCCACACTGAGAAGTGTCAATGCCTGTTAGGGGAAGGGTGTGAAGCTGTCCCTCTTACTGGCAGGGCTGTGCTTGTGGAGGGGGCAGTTTTAAAACCTTCTCTGCCATCTGACCCATGTTTGATCCCTCAGGTTACCAAACCCACCTGGGCACCTTTCCAAAGACTGAAGGGGGAATCCATACTCCTCCTGCTGGCAGATTAATGAATCCCAGCTAAGTTATCAAGAAAGGGAGGACTACAGACTGGTTGTTACCCCAAGACTCCCTTGTTCAGTTGTAGCAGGTGCTGCTGTTCTAGGATTTAATACAGAAACAAATGTTGGAGCAGAGAAGTACAAGGCTCAGCGCTGCACACTCCTGGTAGCTCAGGTAGGAGTGTAAGCATCCAGCAGCTTTAATTATGTGAAATCTGCAATAGGTGAGAGTATTACTGTCAACTCTCTCATGGATCACTGCCTTGACGTGGCAAGGGGGCTTGTGTGGTTTGATGAGGTTGCAGGCTATGTCATGGAGGGCCACCCAGGACGGACAAGCCACAGCGGAGAACTCAGTCAAAACGTGATCCACTGGAGAAGGAAATGGCAACCCACTCCAGTATCTTTGCCAAGAAAACCCCATGGACAGTATCAAAAGGCTAAAAGATATGACGCCAGAAAATGAGCCCCTCAGGTCGGAAGGTGTCCAGTATGCTACTGGGGAAGAGCAGAGGGCAAGTACAAGTAACCCCAGAAAGTGCAAAGCGGCTGGGCCAAAGCCAAAAGGATGCTCAGCTGTGGATGTGTCTGATGGTGAAAGGAAAGTCCGATGCTGCAAAGAACAATACTGCATAGGAACCTGGAATGTAAGATTTATGAATCAAGGTAAGTTGGATGTGGTCAAAAATGAGATGGCAAGACTGAACATCAACATCTTGGGAATCAGTGTACTGAAGTGGACAGGAATGGGCGAAGACCATTATATCAACTAGTGTGGCCAAGAATCCCAAAGAAAAAATGGTGTGGCCTTTATAGTCAACAAGAAAGTGAGAACGGCGGTAATGGCACACAATCTCAAAAATGATCTCAGTTCGAATCCAATGCAAACCATTCAACATCACAGTAATCCAAGTCTATGCCCCAACTACTGACGCAGAAGAGGCTAAAGTGGATTGGTTCTATGAAAACCTACATCACCTCCTACAACTAACACCAAAACAGGATGTCTTTATCATCATAGAGGACTGGAATGCTAAAGTAGGAAGTCAAAAAGTAACTGGAATAATGGACAAGTTTGGCCTTGGAGAACAAAATGAAGCAGGACAAAGGCTAACAGAGTTTTGTCAAGAGAACATGCTGGTCATAGCGAACACCCTCTTCCAACAACCTAAGAGGCAACTCTACACATGGACATCACCAGATGGGCAACACTGAAATCAGATTGAGTATATCATTTGCAGTCAAAGATGGAGAAGCTCTTACAGTCAGTAAAAACAAGACATGGAGCTGACTGTGGCTCATATCATCAGCTACTCATTGCAAAAATCAGGCTTAAACTGAAGAAAGTTGGGAAAACCACTAGACCATTCAGGTTTGACCTAGAACACATCCCTTATGAATATACAGTGGAGGTGAAGAACAGGTTTAAGGGACTAAAGAACTATGCCTGAAGAACTATGGACAGAGGTTTGTGACATTGTACAGGAGGCAGCAATCAGCACCATCCCAAAGAAACAGAAATGCAAGAAAGCAATGTGGCTGTCTGTCTCATCAGAGGCTTTACAAATAGTAGAGGCCACAGGACTGGAAAAGGTCAGCTTAACATTCCAATCCCAAAGAAGGGCAATGCCAAAGAATGTTCAAACTATTGCAATAATTGCACTCATTTCACATGCTACCAAGGTCATGCTCAAGATCCTACAAGCTAGGCTTCAGCAGTATGTGGGTAGAGAACTGCCAGAAGTACAAGCTGCATTTTGAAGAGGTAGAGGAACTAGAGATCAAATTGCCAACATTTGCTGGATTATGGAGAAAGCAAGGGAGTACCAGAAAAACATCTTCTGTTTCATTGACTACACTAAAGCCATTGATTGTGTGGCGATCCTTAAAGAGATGGGAGTACCAGACCACCTCACATGTCTCCTGAGAAACCTATATAAGGGTCAAGAATAGGGGTATGCATTTCGGAATCCCGAACCGAAAACAATCCTCCCAAAAAACTCTTTTCAGAATTTTTCGGCTTTCGGGATTCCGAAATGACCAGTACAAGCCTTTTCGGATATCCGAAAAAATTCGGGGGGGGGGGTGTTTCCGGCTTTTTTCGGCATTGCCGAAAAATGGCATTCGGGGGCTTTAAACTTTAAAGGGCAGCAGGGAAACCCCGTTTCCCTTTCTTTCCCGCCTTTTGCTCCTGTTTTCAGTAGGGAGGGGGGAAGAGGAAACTAGACAGCCAATCACTGCAATGCATTTGCAAATGCATTGCAGTTTGCAAAACTTTGGAACTTTTTTGCAAGGCTGCTGTTGCTGCTGCCACTAGCTTGCTCTTTTCTTAGGGAAGGAGCACTAGTGGCCAATAGGGTTTTGGCATCTGCTCTCTAGCCAATCACAGAAGATGTTCCTTTTCGAAATCTTCTCTGTATGGCCAGAGAGCATAAAAGGAGCCAGTCTCCCTGGCCGACTCCATTGCTGTTCCTGGTTCCTGCTGCTGTTGGTGATGAGAGAGAGGGATTGGCTTGGACCGGTTGGCAATTTCTGCTGCCCCTGCTGCTCCGCTGCTG